ACACACACACACACACACACACACACAAATATTTACCAGGAGCAGAGCATCAGTGGGGATTTAGAAACCTAATGTGTCTCAAATCTTTTCACTTCTCACCTGCCTCACTGCTACTGCCTTGGTTCTCATTGTTATAATCTCTCATCTGGATAATTCAGTAGCCTCTTCACTGGTCTCCCTGATGTCTGTTTTGTCCCACCCTTACTCACTGCTCCATCCTGGCATCTATTCTACATGTTGCCATTAGAGTGTATTTTCTAAACCACAAAGCTTATCACGTCTTACTGCTTAAATGTATCTTCCTGAACCTCTATTGCTCTTATAAGTCTAAACTCCTTAACTTGCAAAGTTTTTCCCGATCTTTTCTCACCATACCTACTCTTGCAATCTACGCTCCATCTATACAGTTCTGAACTTGCACTTCACCTCTACCTGCCTCCCTCCCATTCATCTGGTCTTGTCTCAGCTTAGAAACCACTTCCTCTAGGAAGCTATCTCCTGGTGATATTTCTATCACATCCCCTTCTTTTCCTATTATAGCACGGAATCCTTTCCCTGACAGATGCTTGAGGACTCTCATTTCAGCTGTCCCTGCACAGGTCAATTCTGAGCAAGCTCCGAGTCACTGCTGACAGCATCCTGCCAAAAGCACGCACACCTGGAGGCTTTCCATTTCCGGCTTCAGGGCCTTCTTTGACCCTGCCTGCATGTCACAGCACTGCCTAGACATGGTAGAGTTCGTGCTAGTGGGGCCACCCTCATTTAAATGGTGACTAAATGGCCCAGCCTCCTGTCCTCACACGGACAATTTTGGGAGGTACTCTGAATGCTTCTAAAAAGTTCTGGTGGATCGAGCCCTTGTGGCTTTTGATGTGCACTCTTGTACTAGCTTTTCCTCCTTCCCTAACTCGTTCCAACCCCTCACCCTGCTTCCCAGGATGGATTCCCGAATAACCCACCTGCACTCAGCGTCTTATCTGAGGTTCTACTTTGAGGGGATCTAACTAAGATATTGAGGAGAAAAATAATTTTCCTTGGGCATGCATGCTTTCTCTGAGGACACTCCAAATCTCTGTAGAGAACATGGATATAGTTCTGCAAACAGTGGGCACTTGGTAAAGCCAACAATGTCACCTGGATCACAGAACAAATTTGTGGGAGAGAATCAGATCTCTGTAGGATAAAAAGTGTTCAGAACACTTTTAAACTGGGGAATTCTAAGAGAGTAATTTCTATGTGTATTTACCAAGCAGCTCTCGACCACCCAGGGGTCCCCATTTTATCTATGCAGCAGCAAAGGTTGTGGACACCATCTCTGTCCCTCAGCCTACAGCTCTGATGGTATTCCCAGATCATATACCTTTTCCAGAAGTCATTTTCAGAAGTCTATGAGAGAGAGATTTTTTGCTGCATAGCAGTCAAGAGGGTTCTAGAAAAGGCAAAAAGCCATAATCCCCCTTTGCCTTGTTCACCTGTGCTATTTAGCTTTAAGGGAAAGCTTCACTGGATCATTAACATGGTTTATGATTTCCTAATTCGACAGTCTTCAAAGCAAAACTACCTGTCTTTTATTTGAGGCTAAATCAAAGGGAATGACAGTTACAGTGGCAGCCAGAACACATGCAAGCTCATCATAACTGAGACCAGCACTTTCCTCCTGGACCCTGGTATGTGGGATCCCTGCAGGCTTTCGAGCTCTCACAGTCACTCTCCTGCCCTGACATGAGGCTTCAGTGGCATCATTCAGTCTTCCGTCTCCAGCAGTTTTCAGGAAGGCAGAATCACCAGGACCTTGGCTCGTTCTCTGCTGGTAGGTTCATCGCGCAGGCTTTCGGGAAAGCTGGGGCAGGCAAGAAAGAACCAGCTGCTGGGCGGGGCTGCTGGCTCTCCATGCCGTGAAGGTACAGTGCAGAGGGCACTGCAGAGGGCACCGCAGTGGCACTTCTCTTTCTAAAAACTGTGGCTAGTTAGCAAGTAAATCAATGCTGGGTTCCCATGGGCACTGGGCAGCTGTGTAGACTGAAAAGCTGTGGAGAGCGGGAGGCCAGAATTCCTTTGGAGACCTCTCTGCTGTCAGCAGGACCTAGTGCAGCTTCAGGCACCACCGACTGCTCTTTGTTCTGGATCCTAAGCCATAAAGGCAAGGTATGGCCAGAAAGCTGGCTTGAGCAGACTACCCTGTCACCAGCTGTGGATTTTCTGGTCTTGGTTCTAAAGTGTGGTGAGCAATGTCACAGAGGACCACAGGCCTTCATTCAAGAGAATTCCCATCCACCTGTTGCAGGTCAAAGTCCAAAGAAATACACCATGTGGTGGCTTACTCACAGATTACACCCAGAATGTTCTATCAGACATGTGCAGAATATTGTTGCCAAGATGTTCTCAATGCAACAATGACATTTCAACCACCTCCTCCTGAATGTCACACCACTCTCTTGACCTTACTGCCGTAAGTTCCATGTGAGGAGCACAGCCTTTGTCAAACCAGCTGGCTTCCCACGAGACAGTATGGCCGGCTGAGTGCAGTAGGCATACTGGTGAAAGAGACTCTTACTAGACTCTTATTTCTTTTGTATTATGCCCAGTTATCCATCAATCAGCAATTATTTTCAATTCCCTTTCCACCAAGCCCACTGACCTATACCAACACCAGACACTCATATGGAAAAGGTTCAGAAACTCAGAAAAAAAAGGGACAAAAAAGGCAAAATGACAGTTGTCTTTTTCCTCTCTGAATTCAAAGTTTACACTGATAAGTTGCGAGAACTATATTCTGCTTCTCTTTAGCTACAGAAATGTTAAGTTTAACAAAACTGATTGCAACTAAATGACAAACTCCATGCTGTTGAGTCCTTCACAAAGATATTACATTAACGCGTTTTCTCTGCTCCAGCCCCAAGAGCCTGGACTCGGATTCACCCAACAGATTTGATTTGACTCAGACTCACCCAATCCATTTGATTAGTTTTGTAGCAAGAACACCGCTCTATCTGGCCACCCTGAGCGAGGTGCTTGAATCCTGCTGTTATTTATAAGAGGTACTGGAAAGGAGCTGGGAAGATAACTTATTAAGTGGAAATAGAAAGGATGGCAGGACATAACAACTGGTTGTGAAGGGAAAATGGGAACATCTTTCCCCATGATCTTCGAAATCAGCCTCGGGCAACCGCTGTCCCACAGACCAGAATTTTAGGTTTGGGAATACATGTAGAGCCATTCATTCATTGTATTCATCCAACAGAGATTACTGAGAAATTACTGTATACCAGACATTGTGCTTGGAACTCGAGGCAAAAAAAAAATATAGAAGACATAATCTTTGGCTTCAAGGAGAAAATCTAATAGAGGAGCTCATCATAGACAAATCGTAATATACTATGAAGGCACAAAGAGGGAGCAGCTTAGAGGCTGTTTAATCCAACCTCTTTATTTTAGAAATGAGTTAACTAAAACCCAAGAAGGGTAAGAAACCTGCTTCAGTTCACAATGGGGGACTAGAACTCAGTGCTTTTGACACCCAGCCTGCTTCTCCATCTTGCTGATTGATGGTAGAGATGGGGATAATCTTTTGAGATGCCTTCCAGCCTCCAATTTCTACGACTGCAGATTTTTGGGGGGAGGGGGTGCATTTTTATTTCCCTTGTTGTCCTGGAGCTCACTGTCCACAGGGAGTCTTACTCACCCTTGACTCATCCACAGTGCAGCACAAAGCCTTGCCAGGGTACGTGATCACTACATGTTTAACCAACTAAATCCCCGTGACCTGACAATGGACTTATTCAAAACAATTTTTTCTCATAACACTATACTTGAGCTGACAGGCCAGTCAAGGTAGCTCCAACATTACACCAGCAAGGACAGGGTCAACATATACGCTCGGAAGCACTACTGACCTTCACTTAGAACTTCAACACACAGAACCTGGCTCAAGTCTATGCCTTCCATCTCATAATTTGCATAATCATTAAAATGCAATTTATTTGAAACAAAGATTCTTTGGCAGATATATGCAGTTTCCTCAGTATCTGTCATTTGCTTACAAGGCCGGACTTCTTGGTAGCTCATACATGGATTATTTTCCAGAGCCAGACACGGGTCTAGAACTGGCATGGCACTTCCCTGAGGAACAGGAAGAAAGTTTATGATGCTAATTCTTCAGTGAGAACTGCCTGTTTGGAACCACTGTTTTCTTTCAGATCTTCTTTGGATTTGGCTAAAATCCCTAAGAATGAAAAGTAAAGCCCCAATCTCTGGGCCAAGTTCATTCTCCACCTGTGTAAATCTCTAAGTAATCTCCCCAAAGCCTAAGACCAGACCACTCAAGGAAATGGACTGGAAGCCAGTGGTACATGAGGGAGAGAGTTTACATTCTATTTACTTCCCAACCTGCGCTGAGCATTCTATGGGACATCGGGCTCAGGAAAGTGGAAAACCAGAGGCAACGCAAGAAGTTCCAAATGATCTTAAACATTTTGTGGCTTGCGAAATTGTGAGTACTCTTAAATCTATTATTGACGTTGATACAGTGCCAAAAAAAAAAAAAGAAAAAAAAGTGGCATCTAGCAGCAAAAGGTGAAATGAAAGCTGGCAAATAACAGCAGCTTCAGTTTTCCTGCAAATAGAAAATGGTTTTTACTAAATTTTATTGCTCTTATGCCAATCCAAGAATGAATTACACTTAAGTGTGTCTGATTTGATTTCAGCTGCTCTATATCTTCATAACGTGTCTAGGAAACTTTCCTGCTTTATTGAAATTTCCTTGATCTCCTTTAATCTTTAAATCTAGCATGGTTTCCTACCTATTGTTTTGTTTGATTTTTGGTCATTGATGGAATTCTCGATTTTTGAGTCCAGGTTGGTTTTCCTATATACTATTGCTGGTTTAGGGTCTGTTTCCTATGCTAAGTATGTCACATAGATGAGGCTGAGTACTTCTTACTGCACCATCATATAGTGACGGGCACAGAGTGTTAGGTCAGTCCAGGATTGAAGATGCTAACTGTGGTCGCTTGGGTAAGGTGGTGATGGCCCTAGCTCTCATTTGTAAAGGTACATTCTCCCCTTTGTAATTAATTTCTAAGTAATGTGTAATATGGAGGATAAAATACTCTCAGGGAGTTTTGACTGCTCATTTCTGGTGCCTCACTCTATCATACCCTGGCCATGTCCAAGGACACAGCGAAAATCTCAAAGGGATCATAAAGCTCTGGCTATAAGAAAATCTCTAAAAAGTGAAAGAGCACTAACTAGAAAAGGGGCCAAGGGTTATGGATCATCAGCAGAGTCCAGGATTGGACAGGCCAATGGCAAGAACAGAGGTCTCTGGCCCACAGGAAACATTCACCTAGAGACCTGAGTACTCTTCTCAAAGGCCTGGGACCCTGGTATGTGTAAGGGTTAAGTGACATGGAGGTCAGTGGCAAAGAAAACCCTTCTGGTCCGCCCATCAGACCTCTAGGAAATGATATTTCTGAATTTCCCTTCTCTTTTGTTCCATTCTCATGTGGTTTCATCTCATTCCCTGGGAAAGAGATAATGCCACATCCCTTTCTGCCTCTGTTCCAGCAATTTCCTTCCTTGTATCTTTCC